GGTATAGCAAGATTGATGATTATTTTAAAGGAAATGGGTTCAACAGAAGTGAAAATGAGCCAACTCTCTATATAAAAAAATCTGGTATATGTGATATCATTATTGTTTGCATGTATGTAGATGACATTATCTACATGAGTTCCTCCAATATAATGATTGATGAGTTCAAGTCACAAATGATGAGTATGTTTGAAATGAGTGACATGGGGGTGCTACGTTATTTTCTGGGTCTGGAAGTCATTCAAAGTGTTGATGGAATATTTGTGAATCAAGCCAAGTATGCAAAAGACATTCTTACTAGAATGGGTATGATAGGTTGCACTCCCACTGCAACACCAATGAATTCCAGTGAAAAATTTGTTGTGGAAGATGGTGAAGAGAGAGTAGATGCTACACGATACAGGAGCTTAGTAGGAGGTCTGATCTACCTAACACACACACGCCCTGATATTGCCTACTCTGTTGGGGTTGTATCCAGATTCATGCATCATCCCTCGAAGATACACTTTGGAGCAGCAAAGCGGATTCTGAGATATGTAGCTGGTACTCTTAAATATGGAATATGGTATGCTCAAGCAACACAAGTCAAGTTGTGTGGTTTTACAGATAGCGACTGGGCTGGATGTAGTGATGACAGGAAAAGTGTTTCAGCTAATGTGTTCACCATAGGCACAGGTGCAGTAACTTGGAGCTCAAAGAAACAAGAAAGCACATCATTATCAAGCACCGAGGCAGAATACATAGCTGCAACTGCTGCAGCATGTCAAGGTGTATGGTTAAGAAGAGTACTTGAAGAGCTTCAACAAAAGCAACACGGGGCAACTGACATTTACTGTGACAACAAGTATGCAATCTTCTTGACTAAAAATCCAGCACTTCACAGTCGCACAAAGCACATTGACACTCGTTTTAATTACATCCGTGAGCTGGTAAGCAAAGGATAAATCATTGTCAAGTATTATAGTACTAATGTGCAGTTAGCTGACATTCTCACAAAAGCACTACCAGTTGGAAAATTCAGCTACTTTAGAGATTTGCTTGGAGTATGCACATTTGAATCAAGGGGGCGTGTTGAATATTGATCCAAATCTGCATCAACGGTAACTTAGAATTAGTCAGCTAAGTGACCTGGTAAAAGTATTAGGCGAGTCTTTCGGGATAAAGATGCTATTGCTATTAGTGGGATAGTGCTCCTTAGTTTTCTCTTTTACTGTTATGTTTTTTAGTTTAAATAAGTCTTGTGTTTTTCCTTGTTTTGTACGTGTCTTTTGAGATCAATAAAAGGAGTAGTTTCCCAACTCTTTCTCTCTTACTCCAACAGTCACTACCATGGTCACCGCTCTTTCTGTTTCTATCTAGATCAGGTACATATATCCACCGTCTCAATACCTCGAACAAACCAGGAGTCGATGAATGTATATGGGAAAGGCAGAAGGAATTCGATTCACCACCGCTATAGCCGCCGCACCAACGAGGACGCCACCTACCTGGTCCGAAGCCTTAGTAGACACAATCGGGGTCGATTTTGAACTATACAAGTTTTTTGTGTTCTACTCCGATTTCCATCTCTCCACCAGTTAGTCCTTACAATCGAAGCGTCAACATCTCTTGCTTCTCTACTGAATCGATGGTCGAGACGGTGTTCAAATATGTGTTCAATTATTTTTTCGTATTTCACAATTCCATACTAACCAACATATGGTAAACAAGTTTCTATCTTACATGCATATGAAGTGTTCTATGAAATGCCTAAATGAACCTTCTGAGGATTTTATATGTTCTTTCACTAGGGTTGGCTCTGAAGGGGGTGTTGCTCTGTCTGACGTAATTTCCAGATGTACCCTTTTGAAAAAGCTTTATCTCCCTGACAGTATGTTTGGTGTGGAAGTCGGGCTTGGTTTGATCAAGGCTATTTCTATCTTTCAAAATCTCACTGAAATTTATATAGGTTCACAAATCTCACTGAAATATATCTAGGTTCCATTCTTTTATTTGGATCTTTCTTTAAGTTAAAAATGTTTAATTGCTAAGTATGGAGAAAGTTCTTTTCACATGTTTTCAATATTGTTGTTTAATTGCCATATGTTTGTTTTTTTTTTTTATTCTTTTTGCTGATATAAGGTTATGAATTCCGCATTTCCATTATATGGAAAAGCGCCAACTGTTCCTATTACATTCCAATATGTATAAACCATCAAGACTACAATCAAATACAAGTTGGGCTACTAAATGGGATTTGGAATTGGCCTCTCTAGACATGGTCGCTACAGAAATATAACGCAGGTAAGCCAATAACAATCATGTGATATGTATCTTCTTATACTGATTCAACTATCTGTTTGGACTTTTATAGTTTGAGTCTAAATCATCTGATTGTTTTGTCAAATTACACCAGTTGATTGTTGTTTTGACAATTTCTGAAGCTGGTAATATTGATTTCTTTCTGTATCGAACATTTTTAACAACATTAATTGTCAAATGTTAGTACCTATTCTGATCAATTTACTTTGTTCAGGTGACATCAATGGACAATTTGCTAATCTTCTCCAGTTGTTTAATGTTACCGTTGTTCTTAAAGACATGATAAACCATCTGTCCCAGTTTACAACATTATTTATTTAAAACTTAAACTAATCGTAAATCTTGCTAATTTTCAATTGAAATAATCGAGATTACACACAGAAAAGTAATAGCTATAGAAAATGGGCTTAATTATAAGCCATCTATACCTGGACTAATGGACTTACGTGTTATCCATACTAAAACAATATTGCTATTATCACGCAATAACAAAAATAACAAAAAGAACATATAAAAAATTCCATTTTAGGCTACAAACTATAACATAAACGCTATAAAAGCATATACTACATTACTACAACGGTGAAAAATAAATAATCTTAAAATTCTTAATACTCATAGTCACCAACAAATATTTCTTTCATGTTATACGGGCCACAATTTTCTTTCTTAATAGAGCGGTTCTACTTTTGGACATAAAAAAGAAAAAAACACCATCACATGTTTCGTGACCGTAAATCAATATCAAGAACGAGCAGTCATGGGGACCTATATCCGGCCCCAATTCTACAAGTCGTGGTTGACGTTTGTAGACAAAAACCACAAACCACAAAAAGTTTAACATTATAATTAATGTGTTTGGAATCAAAGACAAATATAAGAAGCCATGGCAAATGCTTACATTGTCAACTTTTTGTTTAGCATTTCTTCCCATCACATTTTGTTTTTGTCGATTCAAATTATCCCTCGCCACTTTAAATAGTTCACACGAATCACATATACGCATATACTTATCCTTTAAATTTGTTTTGTTTAATATAGTATTAAACTATTAATACATGCATATGCATGCTTCTCTTTTGTGGTCATTTAAACAGTTTACATGTTTAGTCCGATAGCAAACTCTTTTAGAAATAAAAAAGCTATTTTGCAGTGTTGTCAATTTGTAAAAAATCAAATGTATCAAAAAATATAATATAAAATATTGAACTTTATGCTTAAGACATATTCGGTAAACTAGTTGAAAAAGCTAATTTTTGTTTAATAAACTAGCTGAGAAATTAATAGCATTTGATAAAAAGTTACCTAATAAACTACATATTATATAAAACATTAAAATAAATAGCAAATATCAACATATCAAACTAAAACAAATATATTTTAAATAAAACATAATGTTTACAAAATAAAAAAAACATAGCCTTTGAATTGCACATAACATCCAAATTTAAAAAAACATTAAAATACAAAAAAAACATATTTTTATTTTTCCTAAACAACGCTATTTGTTATATCGTTACCTTCGAAAATATAATCCGCCAAGTCTTTTCGAAGTTGTATGTGTTTATTTGTGTCCTGAATGTCAACGACTCTATGCAAATATTATGTTGTTCCTGGTTGAAATTGAACGTGTCTGGGCCCCGTTGGAATATAGTGTGCAATATTTCGTCATTTATCTTCTACTACCATGTTATGCATTATGATACATGCATACATGATATATCGTAGAGTTTCTAAGTCTAATGGTCGTGCCACATGTTCAACTATATTCCATTTCGCCTTTAGCACTCCAAAAGCACGTTCCACATCCTCACATGCTCATTCTTGTTTTCTATTGAATAATTTATCTCTTTCTTCAACCGGGTGTCGCAATGCCTTCACGAATGTGGAATACGGAGGATATATTTCATCCATAAGGTAATACCCAAACTTGTATTCGTTTCCATTCACTGTGAAATGAGCATCTAGGGCCTTTCCATTCAAAATATCGTCGAATATTGGCGACTGATCAAGAACGTTGACGTCGTTGTTGGAACCCACAACCCCAAAAAATGCATGCCCAATCCATAAATCTTGGAAAGCAACAGCCTCTAAAACCAACGAAGGAGAACCATGATGACCACTTGCATACTGCCATTTCCATGCTACTGGACAATTTTTCCATTTCCAGTGCGTGCAATCAATGCTTCCACTCATTCCGGGAAACCTATGTCTTTCTTCATGTACTGCATAAAGTTCTTGCGTATCATGCAACGAAGGTTTCCGCAAATATATATCTGCTAATGTTTCCACAACACATTTTGACTATCTGTACAAAATTTCATGTGCAGTTCTTTCGGACATTCTCATATAATCATCCATGATGTTGGGTGACTCCCCCATAGCCATCAAACAAATGGCCGCATCACATATTTCTGTAACATTGTGAATTCTCGTCTACCTCTAACATCATATCTCAATTATAAATAATGTATAACTAAACATATATTAAATATGTTTTAAAAATATAATACATTAGTATTAAAAATGTAGTAAATTTGTATTTAGTTTGTATAAAAATATAGTAAATATGTATTAAAATTAAAGAAACGATATCGGCTTTTCAAGGCGTTGACGATCCGTAAGAACACATTCCTACTCAAACGAATTCTTCTTTTGAACTCTTTCGACCCGTATACACATATATCCACAAAGTAATCGCGATATAGACGTTTGTGTCCTTCCTCGCAATTTCTATTTAACATCGCACGTCTTGTTAGTAGATGGTTGGGTTTGCTTGTAGTAGCTCGTTGTTGTAACACCAGCCGCCGTGTTGGGTGGCAGTGTGCTCCGTTTGTGTTTGGACTCGTTTGGGGATGCTTGGATAGAAGTGGGCCCAAAGAAACCCTAATGGGCCCAATGAGGCCCAAAGTGACCTAAAAGCCAAACCAATTGACTAATGGGCTAGTATTGGGTTGGAAAACCCTAAGTAGGGTTTGGAAAACCCTAATGGCATAAAACCCTAATTTGTGGGAATTGATAGGGACACACGAGAATTATTTAATAAGCTTAAAATATTAATTAATGACCAATTGCAAGTTAACCTAAAGCAATGTGGGACTTAATGGATTAAGTCCTTAATGGGTTAAGTAGGAACACTTAACCCTAATCGTCATTTCATGTGAAAACCCTAATTTCACATGGGCCTTGAGTTGGGCCTTCCAATTGGGCTTTGGTGATTGGGCTATCCAAGAACAAGCAAATGGACTAGAAAATTTTAATGGGCTTTAGGGTAAGGCCCATATGAGGGTTTGGGCCCAATTTGGAAAATTGGGCCGTAGATGGGTCATAGTTTGGGCCTTGATGATTATATGATATTGGGCCATTGGAAATGCCAAATGTTTGGACTGGACTAAGTAGTTGGGCCTTTAATTAAGACCATGTAAAGGTTTGGGCCCAATTTGGAAAATTAGGCCATATGTTGGGCTTTGGCCCATTACTTGACTTTTGGGCCTTTGGAGTGTGAGTTGGACCTTAGGCTTGGAACCCAATTATTAATTGGGTGTTGTTTGATGTTGGCAGTTCGAGAATCTGTCAACCAGCAGCTGGAGTTTCATCCGCGGGACTTCAGCAGTGCCATGTGAGATATCCTCACTATACTCAAGGGTCTAAGGCACCAAGGCCGGCCCTTTGAATTGTTATTTGGTTATGTTATGCTAGTATGATCTGTTAGATCGGTATCCTAGAGGGTAGGATGATATTATGTGATATGTGGTATGACTTGTTAGTTCGGTATCCTAGAGGGTAGGATAATATTATGTGGTATGTGGTATGATCCATTAGATCAGTTGTTGTCT